ATTTCTATCCCTTCCTCTTTAAGGTGCATTGCTTTGTTCTTTGGAGCCCAGGATGCCCTGAAGTCCTCCATGGAGGGCAGCACAGGGCAGTGATGTGAGCTCTGTCCTAAGGTCTAAGGCTGCTTTCAGAACTCTATGGGCATTGGCTTCTCGTTTCACGGAACAGAGCTTTCTAAGAAGTGCACAGGAATCCAAACCCAGAAACTTTCCTGAAGTCTGCAGAAAGCCTCAAACCAATGGACTGGCTTTAAAAAAAAGCATGGATGTTGCCTTCATTCACCCAATTCTCAAGGCCTGCAAGTTTTGAATTTGAACGCTGAATAACCCAAACAAACCACTGGTGGCTGCAACCTGGCTTCCCAACCCTATTATAAATTCCACAAGTTCTTCATTTGGCAGCTGAGTGAAGCTAATAAACCTTTCTGTTCAATCAGGTGATGTGTTTGTTTTGGGCTTGGCATCCGTTTTGAACGCGTGACACACAAAGCAGATGTACCAAAGTTACACATCTCTTGGTTTATCTGCCCACAGACATCAATAGGAGCACCCACATGCCTCCACAGAGCCCAGGTTTGCTCCTGGAATCGTTGCTCACCTCCAAAATCTGTGCATAAGGTAACAGCATCGTTTATAAGCCCGTATAAAAGCAACACTATGCAGCTGCTCAGTCTGTACAACTATGAAATGAGAGATCTGGATGCTAGAAGCACTTTCTTCATAGACTATCTTGCCCATATAATGCACACAGAGAGGAGAACTGCACTCTTGGAGCTGCAGGAAGCAAAGCTCAGTGCTAACAAAGGGAGCTGTCAGAAGTGTTGATGTTAAAGCTTTTCTTTTTTAACTTAAAGAACATGTGCCTTTGTGTATATTCTATTTTCCATTAATTAACTCTGTCCCACACACCACCCAAACACATCCTGGACTTCAGAAGGCATTCTAACCCACGTTTTGTGTTTTCTTTTTGTCTCTCCATGTTATGACATCTCGAGGATTGGAGCTGGCACTCGTGTTTATAAAGCAGGGGGATTCCACGCATGGCGACAGGATGGATATTTTAACAATATGGTACAAATATTGTCAATTTGCTATTTTTTCCCTTGCCTTTTCCAACACATCATCAATCTAGAGCGGGTTTCTGTGCGTGAACCCTGCTTACCACTGAGCCGGAGCCTCTTGGCATGGATGCAAAGAGGCTTTTTTATAAATAAAACTTAAGAAAATCACCATGCACTCCATTAATTCAGGAACACTCCGCCTCAGCTTCAAAGGGGATCTTTACTGTAAAGATGGTGTTTTTGCTGCTTTAATGATTTGCTACTTGTACTTGTCATAACTACATGAACCAAGTATGCAATAGCAGGGAGCAGCGGTTCCGCCTCCCCTCCGGTTTGATTCAATAGATTTGAGGTTGCATAGAGGAAAGCTACTTCATAAATCTGATACTTAAGGCCATTGTACAATGCCAGTTAATGAAAGGAAGCTGCCTGCGTGCCTCAGCTATGCGGATCTCATGCACTGCTATGGCAGCCAGCACCTTTAACAGCTAGCCACCACGAAACGCTGAGCCAAAGCAAGCAAGGCCAGAGGTAAAATAATACATGCTCCATCTAAATACTATATACCAGAAGAGAAGGGGCCTAAGGCTTTCCACAGTTCCTTAAGCCTTTGGCAAAACATGAAGGCTCCTGATTTTTAAGGTGTGTTTTATCCCAGCACATCCCTTATCCCCACGCTCCATGCCGTACATTTCTATGGATTCCTCCATCAGGGAGGAGAGGCTTTGAAGCTGAAGGTCTCAGAGGTGGGAGAATCAGGAGAGCTGGACCCAATTCCTGGATGTAGATATACTCTAATGCCTTGGGAACACGTTTGGAGCCTCAGCTTTCTTCAGCTTAAGAAACGGGAGCAACAATACCTGTTCTCTGTTTTGAACATTTGTGAATACTTCAGTGATCATTTACATTCAGAAATGATCCCTGCAGAAGCTCAGATGTTTTAAAACCACTTGGAATGAATGCATTTTTGATTGAAAAAGTGACAGTGTTACCATAAACGCAATGGAAGCAAGTTCTTTCTCAGTCCTGGGGAGGCAGAGCCACATTTCCTCCATCTCCAGCAGCCTGAGCCTTCATACAGAGCATCAGAGGAGCTTTTGCTCCTAAAGATCTCCAAATGCTGCACAGACACCCATGATTTCAACTAATTCACCTGTACCACTGGCTATATTATATTCTCCCTTTGTGTTCATCAAACAGTGGATACTTTCAGTTTTACTAACAGAGCAGCTGAAGCACAACAGCAGCAATTCAATGCCGAGCTCCATTCCAGCAAAGCCAAACTTCAGCCCCACTGCAGAGCTCTCTTATTTAGACACAAACCCATCTTCCCTTTCCTAACCCTTCTCTCTGCAGTGCTCCCCACCTCTCCCCAGTGAACCATCTCCTCTTGCCTGCAGTTTCCCCCTCCCTCCGTGAATCCCAATGCATTGCAGTACCCCAGAATGGCCTGGTGCTGCTCCCTCACACCGCTCCTTTCCTGCTCAAAGCTGATGCAGAACGTTTCCCCTGCACTCCATTCTGAGTTGAGAAGCACAGAAAGCAACCTGAGTGAGGTGTAGAGCAGATCCAGGCCCCGGCTGGGATTTTCTTGGCCAACTTCCCTTGGTTCTCATTCCACAAAGAGAAGGTTGCTGCAAGACAGCAGGGCTGTGCACGCACAAAATACATAAGGGGCACAAAACGCTTCACAAACGCAGTCAACCCTCCTCCAAAAGGAAACGAGTCACTCTTGTGCTCTGTTCAAAAAGCACCAAAGGAACCAGGCACCAATATCCTGCACTTCCACACTGCAGCCAACAGCATCCCTGGATGCACTGCACTCTGTTCAGCTCTACCCTTCTGAAACTGGACTGCTCTACCCAACCCATCCTCAACACTGCTGCTTTTTCTGCTTGCTGGGAGATATCAGGTGTGATTCTATTAATTTTGGCCAATACCAGAACCCAGCAGGTGGGAAAGCTGCAACAGTTTTGGTCTTAAGAGAAGCATCTAGTAAGAGCATCCCAAACCTTCTAAGCATCAGTCCTTCCTTCGTTCCCCCTCCACCCCCAGTCAACCTGTTATTTAATTTGCAGCTAGGCAGAAAACTCATGCAATCCTCTTACCCATACATCCCACATGAGATCGTTGTCATCTGTTTGGCCTTTTAAAAGAAGGCAGAACCCCACACTCATTCTCCAGTTCTTTCCCACCCAGCACACACCAAGTCCCATCACCACCTCTCCTTCTCCCACAGCATCATTCCCTGGAGCCAAGCTTACGTCCCAGCCCACGTTCTGCTGAATTTTTAGTTCATTTCCTCAGGATAGCCTTGGATCTCCAAAATGGCAGTGAGATGAGTTCAGTTTGCTACGCACCTCAAGACCCAACTGCTCATGAGTAACTCCATGCAGCTCTCCATGAGCTGCACGCTTCATTTACAAACCAACTCTGCACTTCTACCAACCAATCTATCTAACATTTAGATTTCCATCTCCATAAAAGAACGTGATATTTCAAACAGAACAAAAGCACATCCCTCCTCCACCCTCTGAATTGTATGAACTTTCAAAATTGAAAGAAAAAAAAAAAAAAAACACAACTAATTTTGAGCCCTTTTATGTGTTCTAATCCTTTCTCACTTTTTTTTTTTTTAATTTTGAGCACAGCTGTCTGTTGTACTTTCTCAAATGATGCCAGATGCTGGGTTCATCAACCGAACGCACGAAAACAATGGTTTGAAAGCAATTAGAAGCACCGAGGCTGCACTGAGGCTCATATTAAAATGTGATAACACTGTTCTAAGGGGAATTGCAGCGCTGCTGCATTTCTGACATTTCTGTGCTGCCAGACAGGCAGGATGTGCTGGAAGTGGGCCCTGATCAAGGAGGTAACGTAGTGGAATTTATTCCTGGAGTAAATGAAGGATTAGCCGATTCAGAATGCTCACGGGGGTTTTTTTAATTACAGCCCCAGCTCCCTCCTCATTTGAGCACTGGCAGATCCTTGTTTGTGCTCACCTACGGCAGTCATTGCTTGCAGTAAGCCCCCAAAACCACACGCCTTTGCCACAGCCTGGTTGTACCCCACTGTCCCAAATCGGACATCAGAGCTCAGCTGCACCGATCCCATCTGAAGTCAAAGGAGCTCCAGGTCAGCCCTGAGGAAATGCAAAGCCATCAGCTGCCCTGGATGTGCAGAAGTCCTCACTGACACTGCTGGCCACTTGCAGGCACCCTGCAAAGCCTAAATCATCACCCACATTACTGCAGAAATGGAGATCAAAGTGGTGAGCAGGTTCTCCCAGCTTGTTAACAGACATAACGAGGGAGGGATGGTCGTGGTCCTGAGGAATTTACAGCCTGGCTGTTTGTCTGCACCTGGAGGTTGACTCACCATCAAGTTCAGGTTAACAGAGGTGCAATAAGATTGGAAGCAGCAGGCTGAAGGATACCCTGAAGTGTTTGCCTCCAACTCAATGGCCACAGGAATATGCTGTCCTTCCTGAACCTCAAGTCTCTTCTGGAGACAGGAGATGAGCAGGAACATTTCCTGGGCTTGTCCAAGGTATTTAATGTCAGCCCCACGTATTTCTGTGTTATTCCATAGAATATTTGTACCATCCCATAGAGTGGTTTGGTTGGAAGCGACCATAACCCCACACCACAGCCAACCTTCCACTGGATCCATCACTCAAAGCTCTATCCATTTACTGACTCTTGAGAAGAAAAACTGACTTCTACACAAGATAAAACACCAACTCTGGCTCCTGCCGTAGCCCTTATCACAGCCTTGCACCTCTCCATCCCTAAGAGCTGCCCCTCACACAGCTCCAAACGTTCATTTTAAGCTCTTCTCCTTGCCAACTCTGCAAAGAAACCAGCACACAACCAGCCCTCCCCTGCTCCCCAACCCCTTAACATTGAGAATCCCCCCTCCTTCCCACCAGCTTGTACTCACCTCGGGGCAGAAACTCCAAGTGGTACCTACAAGACAAAAATACATAAATACATGAAAGAGGCAAGCATAAGCATATATGATTTTTTTTGCAATGACTTCTTTTTTCCAGCCTGATGAAAAAGTGACAGATGGGAGAATAATACCAGACACACTGCCAGGAATCTAGTTGATGTTCTCAATGTATTTTGTGCAAGAAATATGTAGGGGAAACAAGTCCTACTGATGCTAGCTGGCCCCAGGACACCCTCTGCTACCTAAGGAACCAATTTTGCTAACCAGATCCCCTCCTTTCCAAGAGCTTCAAAGGCTCTCAACCTCCTCCTCCTATTGCAGCTCTCTTTCTCAAAGCAATCAGGTTTATGTGGCCATTCCCTTCACAGCCTCGAGTGCAAAGAGCTGCTTGCAGGGATGCAATCTGTCCTGCAGCTCTTCTAAGAGCAGGTCACATCAAGAACTCGACAACACACTTGAACACACTGAGATGCCCTGATCAGCCTTTGCATCTCCGAATCTTCCAGTTTCTTTCTTATTTTCCTCCCCCTCCTCCCATCCCAGCTCTCTGCTCTTTGGCCATCTCCATCTAGCAGAGGTACCGTCCTCATTTAGGAGCATGGAAAGATCACTGATCCAAAAATTGCAAAAACCTCCTTGCAGAGCCATGAACATGAAACCTCATGGGATGCACATCACCAATCCACGCTTCCTAATTCTCCTGCAAGAGTATCTAAAAGCCTAGAATGATGTGCAGCAGCATCTCTTGCCCAGCAAGGAGCTCACACACAGCATTTCTAGTTTCAGGAGGCTGGACACACACATCCCCCATAGGGATGGCCACAGAAATTCACCATGATTTCTCTCTCACAACACTTCTGAGAATGCCTTTGGCTGTAGCATGAACCATTTTAATATGGAAACAGCATAGACACAGTTTGGAAACAGATCAAGGAGTTGGGAGAAGCCACAGAGTGACCCATTCACAGGCAAAATGCATAACAAAGGGTTGGTCTATAGGCATCAGTGGCAAGAATCCAGTCTGTAAAAATCCAATCAATTTGTTTACTCATTAAAAGCTTTCATGAAGAAAATGATTTAATACAAACATTCAAGCTACTGACACAGATTAATTAGAAAACAACAACAGAATTCTGATTAAGGGCATAATATTTATTTGTCTCGTTTTCTTTGGACAAAAAGGAAAAGAAAACACGTGCAGCCAAGGGATTTTTCTGGGAGAACGGGCTCCTATGGTGATAAATTACAGCTAAATACATTGGAAGGAGCCACACCAGTGGCCAGAAAGGGCTGCAGATCCTTGGGTGCTCCTGGCAGCAGTCCCCTATTAACACCAACTCTTTCCTATGCACCCTATGGCAGCTGTACCTCCCTCTTTCCATCCCAGAACGTGCCTGAGGTCAAAGGAACAAGTCAGAGCAGCTCCATGCCTTTATTTCCCTGCTCTTCAACATGCAGAGCCCTGAAGTCCTCATCCTTCCTCCGCACCCAAACCCCATCCATCCCCAAACCCAGCAGCCACCAATGCTGGAATACTCTCATCTCCTGAGCAGACACTGATCCCAAGACAAGGACAGAGAAATCACTTCTTGTTTGGTGAACTTTTGTCTCCTGTGCTTGAGAGACTGTCCTAATCTCCCCTGAACATGTTTTAGTGATAACATTTACTGCACTAGGACCAAAATGATTTTCTGTCACTTCTCATTCCAGTTCAATAAAAGTATAAGAGCTTTGTTTCTAACCTCTGTCATTTCTAATACAGTAAAATGGTTTAAAAAAATGTAAAATTGAGTTCCATTTCCTACCGGACCAGCAAGCCCACGTTAGTTTCACTCTGATCAAATCAAAGGGGGGGACAAAAAATACCAAAAAGATGCATTGCTTTTGGTTATTTATTTTACCGAGGCATAAGGAAACAGTCAAAATTCTTATCTCATCAGATCAGGATGAGTCTTTCATCTCCTGCTTTGATCATTTTCACTCTGGAAGGGCTTAAGCAGAGAATGAAAGAGTTCTAAGATTCAATTGGGAGTGGGAGAAGATGTTCTTATGGAAGATGAAAGCGAGGATTGAATTCCTTCACCTGCCACACCAAGACTTGCAGCCTGCATGGCACCCTCTGAGGATGGCACAGCATTTCCAGTTTGTTCACTGAAGTTGCTTAAATGCAGACATTCTTTTCCCTGAAATCCTTTGTGTATATTTAAGGTTGCATTGGGGGTTAGGATGAGCTTTGGTGTGTGTTCTTCCCACTCCCTTTCTCCCAGGTAGCAACGAATCCATCCAACAGCTACAAGAGGAATCCCCTCAGAAGGGCAGCACTCAAAGCATAGGAAATAGCCCAGAAAATACAAAAGTCTGGGCTATCTCAGACCTTAAAGCAGAGGGAAGGAACGCCTCCTGCCATATGATTAACTACCTTCAGCAAAACCAACTCGAAGGAATCCATGGAGAATTTTGATGCCATGTGTAGAGCAGGGAGCCAGCCCAAAGATATCCAATTTCCATCACAAAGCCAAGAGAATGAGCGCTGTGCTGCCAGGCCTTTAACAAAAGCCATCCTATAAGCATTTCCCCCACATAGTTTGCAGTGAACCACCCACCTCTCTCACCTCATCAGAGCATATTTTGGGGCCAGACAGGAAGAAGCCACAGATTGGTTCCATTGGAAACACGAAACGCTCCTCGTGATCGTACAGCCTTTGAGGTTACGTGCTCACCAAGCAAACATGAGCAAGTGTCACTTGTCTGCAAGGGTTTATGTGCTTTGCTCCTGAAAAACGTGCACATCCCAGCCCAAGTTCATCAGTCTCAGAGCAGCTGCCTGCAATGGGCCCCAATCGAACTTGCAACTCAACTGTATGAACAGATCTCAAAGGGTCACGAGGAAAAGAAAGTGGTTTTGTCACATTACAGAGGGAAACTGAGTCACAGCCTTTCCCAGAATGCTTCCTTCCCAATGAGAACCCACTGCGATTTCTGCCTCCAGCCTGAACTAACATTCCCCAGCTCTGGGGCCAAAAGGAGCAGCACCTTCTGCTGCCTCCCACAGAAGGCTTCACCTTCAGGAGAACAGCATGTGCTGCTCTGAGCTCTTGCACTCAGAAGCCATTGCCAGGAAACAGTGATGCTGCTGGGACTGACTGATCTGGGACTGCTCCCTGCAGGAGCCAAAATCCAGCCAGGAAAGTCACCAATTCCATCAGTGGCACAGAAATACAATTAAGACAAAATGACACCCAGCCTTCATCCCACAGGGTGAGCTGGCCAGCCAACGTGCACCTCTTTGCCACATCCCAGTGCTGATGGATTCAAAGCAGATCCATTTGAGGCTGGAAGCAAAATGGCTTTCTGAGATCTTACGGTCTGTATTACGCCAGGGGTCAAACTTGATGGATATAATGGTCTCTTTGCAGCTTTAGCATCTATAGAGCCTAAACCCCACTTTCCTCTCAGACTCCATTTCAGCAGGAACCATGCAATGAAGTCAGGTTTCAATCAAATTTCCGGCGTTTTCTTGTCCAATTAAGAACACTAATATCACCACAGCTGTTATATTAGATATACCAAGACAGCCTAATTTGTTTGGTGCACAATACTCGCTGCTTTTTAAATGTTTGCAAGAAAAAAAAATGAAAAAAAAAAAATCAATGCTGTACGAGATTTCAAGCACAGGAAAAAGAGAAAGGAAGGTTGAGGAGCTCACCATTAGCAGAGCCTGCTACAAACCAGTTCAAATGCATTTCCTAGCTAAATGCTACAGAAGCAGCGGCAGATAGGCAGAGACTCTGGTTACACAATTTCAATCATTTACAGTCCTCAGGTTTCAGATTAACAACGCATTCACCAGGAAATGGATGGTGAAATAAGGGGTAATTTTATCAGCTGGAATGGAAATGATGGGAATTACTGAAAGGAGCCAAAGCCAAACGGCACCAAACTGCATTACTGGCAGAGTGAGGGGCTGCATCCAGCCCAGGTATAAAAGCAGGTAGAATGTGATAACAGCTGAATTGAATTTGTTCCCCCGAATGCAAAGAATTCCTTCCTCATCTTTCTCCAAAGGAAGGAGGGGGGAAAAAAAAAAATCTCCTACTGAGATTACAGAATAAATTCAGACCATCTTAACTAAAACTCCGCCAGGCCTTCATAAGAAGTCAGTATTCCATTGGAGTGTTGGTAACAGGAGGAATGCCTCTCTGCTCAGCCCTGGTATTAATGTGCTGAGCTCAATTATCTGCCCATAAGGTCACATCCTTAAGTTCTTTTCATCTTGGTATTGCACATAATTCAGCATAATGAGCTACAGACAGTGAATTTACGCTAATGAAGCAAAAATTACCCCCAAATCATGTTTTCTTGAATTTAAACCTCCAAATTTCTAGAACAGAGTCGAAATTGAAGCAGTAGATGGCAGTTAATACACCCAAGATTACTACAACAGGCCAAGTTTTGGATGCACTTCCATTTGTGAACCATTTACGGCCCCATAGCAGCAGCTGATGTCTAATGCAATACTGCAGCATCAAGCTCAAGCTGAGGATCCAAGTGAAGCAGCAACAGTTCAGCTGTGCTTGTAAACCAGTAAAACCAGCAGCTCAGTGATGCAACAGCACACACAAGTCACACACTGCCATGGCTTGCTGAGATTTGCAGCACAACCCCAGGATCCCCACACAGGATCAGCCCACGTTGGATTTATCCTTACGCTTCTACTTGTGACCATGCAAATTGCAGGTAGAGCTGCAGGGCTTACTCTGGATTTCCCAGTGGGTGTATATGAGAAACAGCACGAAGCCCTTTTCATCTCTGCTTTGGTATAGGACAGGTCTGCCTTGCAGGAGCCAGGAGTTGGACTCAATGATCCTTATGGGTCCCTCCCAACTTAGGAGTCTCCTTTTAGCACCACTACAAGGAAAAAAAATACTAAGAATTCATATCTATCAGTGCAAACTTGCCTTCCAGGAGGGAGTTTAAACAACTGCCTGCCTCTACAGAGATGGAGGTACTATTTATCTCTGTATTTGTAAGTAAATCCCATTCTCCCCATCTCACCCCCTGCCATCCTAACTGCTCTAAAAGTGTCTAAATGCTGAGGTGAGGTCATTTAACAGCAAGATGACACCTTTTTTGCTTGCTGCTCTTGCCAAAGGACAAGAACAGATCTGTGTTCCTGAGCAGAGCCATGTATCAGATTCATTCCAGGTGTTGGACATCTGCTGCTCGCTCTGCAGCTGCCTCTGCTAAGACATAAGAAACAGCAGCAATCTTCCCAAGGAACAGCTTGAAACAAACCCTCAGTGCCAACCGACCTTAAACAGAAGCAACTGACAAGCTCTGGGGTTTCTGGAAGATGAGTACAACTTCACCCTGGCACGGCATCCTCCCCCTGCCCTCCCTCAATCCAGAGCTGCTTTTTTAGCATCACACTTTGCTTTTCCATGCAGCACCAGAGCAGCATCCTCAGCCTTTGGTCGAGGCACTGATGCTGCTGTTATTGTCCTGTTGGGGACCACACCTCCAGCTGCACTCTACGACTTGTCTGATGGATGCAGTTGGAGAAAGCAACAAAAGTAGAAGAGATCATTAACATAAGAAAGAAAATGGGAAAAAAAAATGATGCATATATTGCCAGGCTTTGCATCCGAGATCAGAAAATGGAATAGGGTCCAAGTTTGCAAAGAGAGGGGGAAACCAAAGGAAAACACCACTTTTTTTGTTCTTTTGGTTTGGTTGTTGTTTTTTTTTTTTTTTCCCCCAACACAACAGCATGTTTTAAATAACCAAATGGTTTCTGAAAGTAAAACAGCACGGGGACTCATAACTCAGCTGCATGGTGACAGCTTTCCCACAAGCACCGCAGCAGCGCCTCCAACACAGCAGAAATACCATTGAGTGCCTCAAAAAACATACATAACCTGCAAATACAATCCAGCCCCTACCTACCGCACTTCTCCTGGCGAGAGGGGAACAATATATCCTCCCAGGTAGCGCGTGGAGACAGAGCCCCAGCACTTGTTCCTATTACAGCCATCAGGGCCCTCCTGATGGGGGACTGTTAGGAGGCCATGGGGAGAGCTGCCATACAAAGACCTGAAGTTAAAGGAACGCTTATGAAAGAAGCTCGGGATAATCAGCTGAGATGAAGCTCTTCCCTTTCAGAGACTGCACGTCTCTCCCTGGTAGTTCAGCAGTTTACTTATGTCTGTGATGAACCCAAACAATGAAACCCTACACTGCGTTACGCAGCGCTTCCTGAGCACGACTGCTGCTGATTTCCTGAGCAGCAGCCACGAAGCCACAGGAAGCCCCAAAGGGACAGACCTGTGCTCCCCACCAGGAGCAGGGCTCGCTCAGAGCCTTTCAGATAAAAAGAGAGTCATCATTACAGTCATCTCCCACCACAAATCATTGCCTTAATGGCTCAGGGCAGAAGAAGAGCGTTTGTATGCTGCTCTTCTCACCATTTCCAAATGCCACCGAGCAATAAAACACAAGGAGGAAATCAGCAGTGCCCTGTGCTCTTTGCTACGGGTCTCACTTTCCCCTCTGCACTTACTGGCAATCTGTTTCGATAAGCAGAGGGGCTGGGGCCCATATCTTGACCTGAACATCCAGGAAGGATTTGTGCATCACATCCCCTCCTGATGCCGAGGCTGTTTCCCCACATCTCCTGCTCATTGAGATGCTGCTTTTGGAAGCTTTATGCCAAATTGTATTTTCTTAGGCTGATAAAGAGATAAAAGCAAAGGCTAATCCCATGATTCAGAACCCAGTGTTTGCCCCAGGACTCTCTTTACAAGGGTAGATAACAGTAGAATAAGGGGGAATGGTTTTAAACACCTCCAAGGATGGAGCATCCACAGCATCTCCGGGCACCCTGTTCCAGCACCTCACCACTCTCAGTAAAAATCTTCCTCCTGACATCTAATCTAAGTCTCCCCTATCTAAGTCTCCCCTTCTTTAGTTTAAGGTCAGGTTGGAAGGGGCCCTGAGCAGCCTGATCTAATACTTGGATCTAGTGGTTGGTGGCCCTGCCTGTGACAGCGAGTTGGAACTTGAAAGCCCTTGGGGTCCCTTCCAACACAAGCCATTCTATGGTTCTGACTCCAAAGGCTGCTCCTTCTCTAACAAGTCACCAGAGCTGCACAGGATCTCCATGAAGCCTGAGGTCCCCTGGGGTGGCCGTAGCAGCATCCTCCCCCACTGCTCAAGTGCCAGAAAGTTTACCAAGGACTTCACACACTTATCAGGTTCCATGATACTGATTTTAAAACTCATTCAAGACAGACCTAGGGTTGGATCATACAAAAATATATCATTTCTAAGGTTGTATGCTCTGCAGACCATTGGGAATAAATAAAAGCCTGCCTGAATACTTCAGGTTCACAGTCCTGCTAACTTCACTCTTTCCATCCAAGGTCACTACCTGGCAATGCCTCAGAAGCCACACCAGTCCTCTGCACCCACACCAAAAGGTTCCTCCCCAGCACTACAAGGCACCCCTGGACACACCACTTCTCCTTTAGATACACCACAGCCCCATTTCCAAAGGCTTCCATCCTCTGCATCCCGTTTGTTTCAATTATTCAGGACAACCCAGGCTGATAATTACACAGTCCCGTGTTGCTGAGTAAAACTGATGCATAATTAGCCAGCAGGAAAGATCGATTAAGATACAGCAGGGCATCTTGCAAAGTTCTTCAGTGGGACTGCAGGGAATAGGAGCTGGCTGTGCCCTTCCAAAGGATAAAATTCTCTGCATCTCAGGGACTTGACAGCAGTTTTATTTAAACGGGATGCTTCCATCAGTCAGCCACCCCGAGTTTTATTGTCAGGTCTTAACTTCAAATGACACAACTCATATCTTTTAACTAGAGCACAAACACCAAGCTATACATCACATTTCCAGCCAGAAATATAGTGCAGCTGAGGCTCCAAGTTGCACTTAAGCCTCCAGCAACATGTTTTCTGTTTTATATCCCTTGATTTTCCCCTAGCACCACAGCACAGCCTTTGTCTGCTTTGCTCTCAAATCCAAATGACGCAGCTCCCATTCTCATTGCAGATTTGAACAAGGCTGAGGTCAGCAGATTTGGGAGCACAGTTCAGAGATTTAACTTAGGAAGTCATCTTCTCTCCTTTTGCAATGCGTGTTTGGGCTCAGGAGCCACACATGGCATGGATGCTTTCAGCAGCAAGCCAGCAGTGTGAGCCTTTGCTCACTGTATTGATTTATCCACATATCTCAGCATCAAGTAATGGATTTTTTCCCCCTCCATACACAAAATCCTCAATAGCACCACGGTGGAGGAAGAAGAGCATCAGATTCATATGCCAAGAGCTGTACAGATGCTGCCCAAATCACGTTTTCTGCTTTAAGAAACAACAGATTCCAAAGGCAGGCAATGATAACTCTGCAGACAACCAAATATAACCAGCTGATGTAAATAGAAGGACACAGCATACTCTCAATTATACCAACTTCTAAATGCCCATTATCTTTCAAACCATGGGCCAATTATCCTCTTTCCTGAATACAGCATGCAATATGCAAAAAAAAACCCTAAGTTATTGAAGTTCATTAGAAGACAGACATAGACAATACATACCTGGCTCTGGCTTGCTGGAAGCCATAGAGAATTGTGTTCCTCTGCTCCCTTGCTCTAGGGCTCAAGTTTTCGTTCTGCAGCCCATCCACCAGGAAGCACTCAGCATCTGAGTAAAGGGAAAGAAACAAGTTAAAGCTAATGGGCAGCTGAAGGTACCAGTCCTTGGTGGAGAGCAGCATCAGCATCTCAAGGATCAGAAAGCCCTGGTGCAGACTTGAGGAAGACAGCCTGTCAGCCCACCACGAGACACTGGGACTCACAGCTTCCAGTGGGTCTGTCCCCTGCTGACAGCCAGCAATAAAAGAGTTGGCTCTTTTGGCAAGGTCAGAAGCCTTGCTTGAACACCACTCTTCTGCCACATGCATTCTCTTCACTCATTAACCACTGCCTTACACTGTTGTGGGCAGCACCCAACACCTCCCATATACCTCTCTGCTTCCCCAAACCCTAAAAATCTGCTGCTATGAAAGCCTTAAGGGCTGCCATTCAGAGAAGCATCCAAAACACTTCTAATGCAGTGGATGCCTGACACCCAACGCTTAAAGAAAATCCCTGCTGGTGGCTTTCACTAGGATAACCTTCCTAAGGAGCAGGCATTGAACACCAGGTTGTTGTGCTCTCACCCACATACAGATATATCACACCATGTGCTCTGCTAATGCTCAGATACACTGTGCTTGCCCAACAGAACAGCTTGGCAGAAGTAAATATGGTAGTCTCTCACTTGGAAAGCACAGCTACATGTAGAAATCTAACCTAAACTGAAAGGCAAAGAGACTACAGGTAGATGAAGTGCCTTCTATTTGGATGAATATTTATACTCCTTACAGAAGCCTCTTAGAAAAACAGAACATTTGCAACCACACCTGCTCTGTAAATGAAAGCATCACCATCCCTGTATTCCGGCAGCTTTACTGCTGCTTTCCTCTAGCAAAGATTGGCTTCAAAGCTGTGGTGCTGTACACCCCCAGCCCTCTCCAACCTTTAATTCATGCCCCATACTGTGACACTAATGTCAGTTTAATATCCTGCTTGCAAGACTTGCAGCTCCTTATGCTTCAGCTGCCGGAACGGCAGCCAGCACTGCTCAGCACGCCCCAGGAACCTTTATAGCTCCTTAACAAAACAGTTCCTCTACCTGCAAGCACAGAAGATCAAAGTGCCACAGGAGAAATGAATATCTTCCCCTGCTAAAGTCGTGAGCTCTTACTTTCATCACCTGCCTATGACAAACGTAAGAAAGGCTGAGAGCTGGAGGGAAAAGAGAGAAACATCTCTCTGAAGTGAAGGACAGAAGCAAGGACGGAGCAAGCTGGGTGCTCAGGGAGTGGGGCAGATGTGCATCCCCACAAACGGGGCTCCCTTCCCACTTTGTCTTTGCAGTGATGAAGAGGAGCAGAGAAACACAGCGCTGGGCAAGGCAGCAAGGGGAAGGAGGAGCAAAGCCAGATCGTGACACTGCTTTCTGCAACCCCTCTGCTGTCATCTCTGGGATTGTTCAGCTGAAAGCATCACTTCCCATTGGAGCACTCAGCAAAAAGCACATTTTAGCCAAATTCAGACTAGTCCAGGTCACTGCCAGCTCTCTCCTAACAGTGATGCTCTCAGCACATGGGAAGCAGAGATGAACCACCTGTGCCTCGTTGCCTGCAGTCCCACACTACAGCCACCACCTGTGGCCAAGAAACAGAGCCTGAAGCACAAAGACAGCACTGAGGACATCCAAGTGCCCCAATGCATCCCCTCTGATGACAGCACTCAGCTGGCACATCTCTGCTGAAGGGCAGGAACACAAATTCACAGTGCTGCCCTAAACACACACCTACATCCAGCAGCAGTTTCAGCAGCTGCAGGAGCACAGAGGCATCAGGTCAGAACATCCTGGCTCTGCCTGGTATCCCACTGAGGCTCTGCTGGATCTTTTGCTTCATTTAAGTTTCATTTTCAGCACATCTCCACACTTTTTTTAATTCCCCCTCCAGGATACAGCACCAACTTACGACAAACCAACAGTGCTAGACTTGCACTGCTTACAAATAACATGAGAAATAACCAAGGACACGTATCTAGGCACAAAAACATGCCTTGCTCTGAGAAGCTTACTATAAGAATAGATGAAGGCTGAGGGGACAGTTTATTATGTACAAATCTGCTTTAAGACAGCGCTGTAGAGATCAGTCAGCAAGAGAAACCCTTGCAGGCTGCAACAAGAGCAAATGAGAGCTGCAAACTGGACCAACATCAGCTGTTCTTCTGCCCTTTTAAAGCACAAAGCAGCTCCACAAGTATGCCATCAGCTGCAATATGGTATTTACTTGCTGCCATGTCAGCACAGATCAGCTGCTGGATAAGTTATAGCAGAGCTGTGGTCCCTCCTGCAAAGCAGGCAGAGCCCTTTCAGAGCCAGCCACGATGTTTATAGCACCAGGAAATGAAAAAGAAAGCCTAACCATAAACTCTCCAAGTGGATCAGGAAGAGCAATATGTAAGCAGCTCCGGAGTAAATCACCCCAATGTTAGTTTTACTGCTTGTCAGTAACGTTATATTCTTGATGTTTATAGATTGCTCTCTGTGATCCACTCCGAAAGTTTACAGGGCTCTCCCTTTCATTTCCTGCAGCTACCAAAGGTAAGAGAGGGGGAAAAAAAATAAAACAGTTGAGATTTCATCAAGTGCTTCAGGAGAGTTTCTAGAGGCAATTGCAGTCATCCACTTTAATCCCACACGCAGTGCACAGCATTGTAAGAATTATGTCACAGCCACCCGAGTCCGAGGAGTAAATAACCCTTTAATGGCTGCACTAAATCTCTGCGTTAATCATCACTCAATGAGCAGAGCTGAAAGGTATGTAGAGGCCGTGCACATCTCTCCCATGCCCACAGGCAAACACTTGTTGCTCTTTTCTACTCATCTGCCATCAGAAAGCCAACTCAGAAGCTCAACACCAAAGCGATGGAAGCCAGTGCTGAGCTAGCTGCTCTGCTCCATCACTGCTTGCTGCTTCACACAGTCCCTCCTGCAGTTTCCCATCCTATCAACAGAGTGCAGACACCTCAAGCATCCGTGAGACTGCATTAATGTTTCCAGGATGCTAACAAGACAGCTGGGGGGGGTCAGAATGCTGCACCAGCACTGCCTGGAACCCAACAGCCCCACAGAACACAGCACTTGTTTGCTTATTTTTAAAGCAGCACTAAGGCTGCTCACCTTGAAGGCAGCAGCTCCTGGCTCTGCTATGCTTTGCAGATGCAGTTGCACTCCCACGGGGCAGCATCTCTTCTGTCCTCTCTGCTGCCCAAACTCTGCAAGAGAAGGGCCCTTCAGACCCCCCCCTCTGGGATGAAGAGGTTGGGCAGGGCAGAGGAAAACAGGCTGCCTTTAGCTTCTATAAAACAGAGCAGAAGCCCTGGATTTGTCAGATACACCACATTTTTAAGAACCTCTGTTTCAGCCTTCAGAAGAAACCTGTGCAAAACAAAGAGAAATACCCTGAGCTTCCCTTAGACTGAAGCAGGACTGAAACCTTGTGCAATTAATGACAACTTGAGCTGCTTCTTTGTGACGTGGAACCGAGTAATAAAACTGCTGCCACCACATCTATTCATAAACATAAGGCAATCAGCATCCAGAAGCACTGCAGCATTGCACTGTAGAGAAGATAGCCATGGTATATCAGCTTTCAACCACTGCAACCTCAGAGATGGCTTCTGTGATAACAGCAGGGCTGTTGGGGAGCCAGCCATTGGCTACTGGCCTTTTGGGCACCTTACATACAGCCCTCCACTATGGAACAAAGCTTAATATAAGGAAGCAGACATTATAGCCCATGCACCAGTAGGCACTGGCTCTTCAAGTTGTAATTTTTACTTTAAACACAAGAATTCTTATTGTAATGCAGTTTGAAAACCTGATGAGCTTAAGCTCCTTTGGTTCCTGCATAGCAAGAAACCTTCCCAGCCCCTGGAAGGCCTCGAGACTGTACAGATTGTTAAGACACAGCAAGTTTGATACAGAGGTATGTGACATGCAATTAATCTCCATTCATAGCCTGCTCTACTTGTCAGCAAACAAAGGCTGTGCTTTAGAAGGAGATCTGAAGCCTTCAATTAAAAACAGTCAGCTAACAAGAAAATAATCTAAGTTAAAGGAAGGTGGCAGGTGCAGAAATGAGTTGTTTACAGAAGCGTCAGCAGCAAACAATAAAGCGCTGCACATCAAAAACGGGAAAGGGCGAACTTCACCAAAGCCCCCACGATTAAAAAGCAGAGGGGAGAATTCACACCTACATCTGGGGGAAGACACAGTGCATTTGGGAAGGAGCTTTGATGGGCTGAGAGGCTGTGTGCCCTGACTGCTGGGACTGGAAGGAACTCAGAGTTGGGGTGACTTCAGGGAGACCTCATTGTGGCCTTCCAGTGCTCGAAGGGAGCATACAGACAGGAGGGGCAATGGCTGCTCACAAGTGAAAGGACAAGGAGGAATGGCTTTAAACTGAGACAGGGGAGGTTGAGGTTGGATATTAGGAGGAAGTTTTTCACCCAGAGGGTGGTGATGCACTGGAACAGGTTGCCCAAGGAGGCTGTGGATGCTCCATCCCTGCAGGCATTCAAGGCCAGGCTGGATGTGGCTCTGGGCTGCTGGTTGGCGACCCTGCACATAGCAGGGGTTGGAACTAGAACATCACTATGGTGCTTTTCAACCCAGGCCATTCTATGATACAATGGGCTGGTGCTGTCAGGAGATGAGCAACAGGAAACCAAAGGTCACAAAACCTCGAGGCAGAGCAGGTCAGGCTCAAACACAACAGCTCAGAGCATCGAGCAGCAGAATGCAAACAGCTCCTTCCCATCACCCTGCCTGCACCTACAGCAGCAGGATGTGCCAGCAACGTGCAGCAATGGGCCAAGGCTGCTGCTTCAGCCTGCAGTGCTGCTGCTCAGGCTTTACATACAGGGAGGTCAGCAAGAGTCAGCAGGGCAGGGGGAAGTCAGCATGCAAGCAGAGGTGACTGCAAAAGAAAAGGCAATGCTAGAGAGAAAAAACCACCAACCCTGAGTATGGGTTCCCCTGTTTGCATAAATTTGCTGCAGAAAGAAACAGTCACCAGTTTTTTTTCCACACCTGTGCAGAATTCATTCATGGTTGCAAAGCACGGTTGGCAGATGAGGAAAGCCCAGTTTCTGCAGTGCTGACCCATTGCTTCAGTGGGAAGGGGTCTGTCCAACTGCTCAGGTTTACAGAGAAATCAGGAAAACCTGCTGAACTGCCCAGAAGCTCCATCACATGCCTACAGGAAAGCAATGCTGCCACCATCACAGCTTCTTCCCTTGGATGTGAGGCCTCAGGAGGTCACCTTCACTTCAGCAAGCAGAAGCAAAGCTTGAAGCTGACACTGCTTTCTCAGTCTATCTCCAATTTTGAGCAGGGTTGAATCTCTCCTGTACCTTCACCACAACCAGCTTGCTCTGCACATCCCCAAGGATGCATACAGCACTGCACAACATCCAGAACCAGGACATAGCACTACCACAGCTACAGCAAAAGCCTGGGGGGAAGGAGCAGGGGGGAAGGGAAGGGGCGTCTCATTGCAGCACACAAGTTTACTCTACCCTGTGCGCCTGCCCCTTTGGCTCACCCCAGCAAAGCCCACACAGTGCTTTAACGGAAGGCACGTGGTGGGGACATCACAGCAGAAAACACCTCTCAACCTTACCCATGCTCTTCTCCTCTACAAACACAGCTTCTGGAACCACCAGAGAGCTGCTCCCCTCCTAACACAGGCACAGACCCACCTGCCAACTCCCGGTATTCTGACAACACTGAGCACCAGGACAAGCAGCCACATCCCCTATGCTTCTCTCATCGGAATTAGTGATATGAAAGGCACACACATAACCTGAGGACCACAAAGCCATCCATCAGCTGTAGAGGAAAAGTAACTCCCGTAGACCTCCCACTCCCCTCTCTAGATCACCACAATGAGATGCTAAAGGCCTTCCAGGCTCTTTCTCTGCAACGACTGCAGGGGATTTGCTGTTAAACAGGAGAGCAGCAAGGAGGAATTGGTGGTTACCTTCAAGGAGTCTCTGAATGTCCTCTGGGATCATGGCCCTGCCACCTCCTTTCCACCAGTCGAAACTGGTGGTGCTGCTCCGGTCCCTCAGCTGCAGGGAGGGAACAAGAAAGGAAGCAGAGGGGGTGGGGACGCCCCAAAGAAGGTGGAAGGAACCGCAGAGCTCTGCTCAAATGCCTCCTCCTCCTCCTCCTCCTCCTCCTCTTTCAGCCTCACAAGGTGCTGAGCTCCTCCATCCGTGCTCCTCACAGGTCGAGCTCTCCCTAACTAACTGCAAAAAGCCCAACCCCACCCCCCAGCAACAACACAGCTGATAGCGAGCTCCCTGCATTAGCATTTTAATCAGGCGGCAGTTAGGCGAGCATCTCCTTCATTAGCGCACAATTCAGCGCACCTGCTGGCACAGCAGAGCCAGAGCTGTGCGGCCTTTGCTTTAACCCCCCTGTGCCGAACCCCCAGCACAACAGGAGATGAGGGTTGGGTCTGTTCCAAACAGAGGCAGACCCCCTTCCCCTAATGCCGAGGAGGAGAAGCAGCGCTTGCCTGTTTTGCAATTAAACATCCCCACTTCCTACATCTTGCGTAGGAAGGGGATAGAGAGTAATAGCCGCTCATATTTCAATCTCGCCCGGAGAAACAGGAGGGTTGTGCACTTTAACTTGCTTTTGACAGTCAATAAGTGCAAACTGCACTCTGCAAAACAGAAGTGGCATTGCATTAGATTAACCTGCAGTCCCGCATCCGCTCCTCTGCTACACAAATGAATTAATGCAGGCCGGCTATGGGGATACACTGCTAATATTTTCCATCCTCGTATTCCCAAATTTTGAACCCAAGTGCAGCCTTCTTTATCTGAAGCTCACCAGCAAGAAAACCCCTCAAATGATTGCAGAGTCCTTTTAGGTTGGGACAGCACCTCTATGAATAACAGCAATGAGAATGGAGGGCTTTGGAGGAGAGGTGAAGGTGCTGTGACCAGAGGCATGTCCAGTGCCGCTCCGGACCACACAAGTTTCCTATTCTGTGTACAAAATTCACTTGATTTTCATCCTTTCCCTTTTACTTTGGGTGCTGCTATGTGAGCTTGCATGCACTGACAGCAGTTTCGCAGCACATCCTTGCTTTTGGGATGCTGCGTGCAAGAAATTGCTCTGCAGCGGGACTGGATGCAGCATGGAAAACATTGCTGCCATTCAGAGGGCCTTGCACAGGAGATTGGCTTGCTGGAATGCATCTCCATCACAGACAGGAGTCTTTGCCATTATATCTGCTAATCAGGCAGGGTTTCATGAGGCAGGATTGGGAAAAGTGAGAGTCTCCAGTGGGAGCAAAATGTGAATTTCTCTTAGCTGCCCACGGCTCCTGGCAGCCGTGAGCTGCTGTGATCATATGCAAGGAATGGTAGTGCATGCAGGTGGGTGTACAGTAGATGGATCTGTATGCATGTTCTCACCTGGAGGTGTTTAGGGATAAATATTTAAATGTTTCTCCATAGAAATCCTCCTCAGTTCATTACAGACTGCAAATAAACAGCAGCTGCTTGCTGCGAGTGACTAACTTTAAAAACGAGTTTATAAAGGGATGAGCTGGGTCCCGTAGATGGAAGAAACTGCCTTCAGATATGCCAGAAAGATCAGTGAAACCTGATCGATGCAAATCTCAGAAGGAAAAACATTCATGCAACTGCAAAGAAAAGGATCATCTCACGGGTTTTCTGCATATCTGTAGCTCTGAAAGCGTGGTGCAAAGAGTGAATTAGACAGCCAGTGAGCCTTGCCCAAGAGATAAACCACTTTATCATATTTAGGGGATGGGGGAAGTTTTTCCTCATGTCAAACGAGCAGCGGGTTGCTTTGCAGGTGTTGTGGTGGGGCTTCGCCTTCCTTTGCTGCCTGGGTTGTGATCACTGCATGCAAGCGTGTGGGGATTTCACCCACCACATTTCCTGTTGCAGCGTTTACCTCAGCAGCAAAGCTTTAGCTCTGTTCTGCTGAAACACATTGCTCTGGTGATTTTTGGTCTTTCGCTGCAGATCTTGAGGTTATCATAGAGCTCTGAGTGTAGTGTGGAGGCGTCCTGGGTGGTCTTGGATTGCACATCCATCCCACAGCCTGGAGACAGAGCTCAGCACCTCGGATGTCCCCCTCAGGCCCTATCTGAAGATTTTGTTAAGACAATACTGACCATGCAGCAGATGCTGCTAAAATTGAATCCATTTTACCACGAAGTCTCAGCTGCCACGCAGATGTACGTGCTGTTACTCACAGCCTTCACACCATGCACAAGCACAGCCAACGCTGCTGTTCAACCTCACCCCTCTGCAGACAGAGCCAGGCAGTGAGTCCCCAATAAATGACCTTTTTCTTTCCCTTGCCACTTTTCTTTGTGGATAGGCTACAAATTTTGTTCGGTGGTCAGCTGGGAAGGAGGTGAGGGGGTCTGGCAGTGGCTGGCAGCTACCCCTGCATCACTGCTCTGTAGCATCACGCTTTGCGGGCTGTGGGTGTCAAGCTGCCTCACTGCATGATGAAAGCCCCACCTGCATCATTTTCAGCCTGAAGTTCAGCAGACAGGGCTCTCTCCTAGTGGTATTCTGTTAAATGGACAAATTCCTTTGAAGGCTTGTCTTGCTTTGAAATCCAGTTTCTCAGGAAGCCAGATGTTTTTGCGTGTAGCTATGGAAACAGAGCAGGGAGGAGCTGAGCAATGCAGGTAAAATGGGAGAGTGGGAAATATGGAAGGATCTGGAGGGGTTGGCAGGAGCTGTGTCCCTGCAATGGGCTGCTGGGCGCAGTGCAGTGCCTGTCAGTGCAGGTGAGCAGCCAGCTGGTGTGTCACAGGACCTGGAGAGGAGCTGGATGCACACAGCCAGGAGATGCGGGCTCCTCGGTTCCCATCTGCCCCTTTTCTGCTCTTCCAGCACATCACCATTCTCTCAGCCTTCCCCTCTGCCATTCGGAAAGGTTAACGACAGAAGGGTAACAAGGTTAAACCGCAAAGCCTCGCCTGATAACAGCCCTTTCAAGCAGCTGCGCTGAAATTAATCTGAAACTTTTAGTAATTAGATAAGATAAGGATGTGTGCATGCTCACGCAGGCACACGCTGACCCTGGGACGCCCATTCTACAGAGGGGGGTGGAGGATCACAGGCTTCATTAAACGGGATCAGGTCATTTATTCACCTCTTCTGGCACTGCAGCACTGGAGATACATTTCCAGCCTCTTTATTCATCCTGCTGGCTCTCCGTGGGTAGTACACTCACTTGCCCTTTTGTCCTCCCTTTCCGGTGCTGTGGCTGCTGCCAATTCAGAGCAGACTCTCATTCTTGCTCTTTCAGAACAGATGCCAGTCCATCTATTTCTGTATCACAGCTCCTGCCATTCCAGGTCAAATTGTTGGACCACTGGGTGTCATTTGCTGCCTCTGACAGTGACCAACAGCTCAGTAAAAAAAAGGCATCTTTCCAATCTGGTCATTCACCTGACTGCTTGAATAATTTCTCCTGGTTTACTAATCAGCTGTGCCATGCTAATGCTCTGCTGTAATCCCAGAGTTTACATGCTTACGTCGGTTTCATTGCCCAACAGCTCGTATATCTTCCTTCTCGTGTGACTAAGTCATTCAGTTAAAGGTTGGTTACAACCCTCATAAATCATCTCTCCTTTCTGAAGGCTAAGTGGTCTTCCCATGTCCACGCTATTTGGCTCTGCACCTCTGCTTCACGAGGGCTTGCAGGTGACCGTTCATCAGTTTCTGAAGCCAATGAGAAACAAAAATATGTCAGCAGCTGCAGCTCTCTCTGACTTATGGCAAACCGATCTGGTTCCAGTGCACATCTAAATTACTGGACCTTGCTGCTGGCATAGACTGCCAGATTCTGGATTCACTTACCTCCCAGCCGTGCTGTATTTTCTGTGTTGTGAAGGCTTCTTGGAAGCAAGCAGATGTGTTGAGATGTATACATTAGAATGTATAGAGCGTAATCGTTTCTGGTAACAGCAGTGCATTCCAATAGGACCCCACTGGCATGTTCCTCCTGTGCCTCTGCGGTGGAGGTGACACATGGCAAGGATGTGCAAGGACTCCTTTCCTGGGTGTGCCCAGGATGGTTGGGGTGGAGGTGGTCTGAGGGCATCTCCCAACATCTGTGTTCTGATGCTACAGCCAGGCGTGGGGAACGGGTTACACTGCTTAAATCCCAAGGAGCCTTTTGTGGCCTCCTGGAAAAGCTCATCAGCATCGGGAAAAGGACAGTCTGTAAAGGGGAGGATGGGAAAGATAGGAAGGGAGAAAAGAGCACTGAGCTGAGCTCTCTTGGAGGCTGCTGCTCCTCGGGCTGACGGATGGGTTTCAGTTTAATGCAAAGGTGATATTGATCCCTTGCTGTTTGGTTACAATGTGTGATGGAGCTGCCCTCTGCCCTGTAGATGTGTTGCAGCACCTTTTCTCTTTCTCCCAACCCTCATCAAACTACTTTAATGACTCTTTTATTGACAACACCAAGTCTTAATGAGGAGGACTGCCACACACTTCATTAAGGCTGCAGAGGGGACACTTCCTACAAGCAGCCAGCACCAAGGACTGCCAGCAGGGCTGAGGGAGAGGGATGGAGTTAAGGGAGGGTATACAATTCTCCAGAGGAGGGAGAACTCCCTGTCTGCTCCAGAGAGAAAACAAAGATTTAGGGCAAAAGCCCACATTACCTGAGAAGCAGTGGGTTGAGAAGGAGAGATCTGTCCTGGGGAAAGGTCCAGGTGGACATAGGGGTTGTAATGTTAGAGCTCTGCGAGCATTTCCATTTGGGGTGAAGATGAGATATGACAAAATGTTGGGTGGCTTGTGGCTAAAATGAACCTGGATGCTATTTCTCAGTTTAATGGTAACACTACCATGCAAGGTGGTGGTGGCAGTGTGTGTCAGGCATGCTGAGCAGCAATACAGACAGCAACACAGCACTGGCTTGTAGTCTGCCAACCAGTGGTACATAGCTGGGTCACCAGCACTGAGATCCGGGCTGTCAGCTCAGAAAAACCAGCTCAGAAATATCTGTGTAAGCATCAGCCACACCATTGCACTTCAGGGTCTTGAGATGAACTGTGAGACTTCAGATTAAAACTGGTCCATCTGTTCTGTGATGTTTTCTTCATTCTGGGAAGAAGAAGAAGAAAAAAGAATC